GGCAGATGGGCAAAGAGAAGGAACCGTGGAGGTGAGGGGAAGCTTAAAAGAAGAGATAGGCGAAGGTTAAAAGTGTGAGTTAAGTGATTGAAGGATTGAGGTTCCCAGAAGAGATAGGAATAAAACAAGGTCATAAGTGATAGAGATAGCCTTAGAAAGGAGATGTGACAGCTTTCCTCTGAGACCAGAAAGAAGAAAGGATGGCTGAAACTAGACTTTTGAGAGTGATGGAGGAAAGCTGAGAAAGCTCACATCAGATAGCCTTGACTTCTCCACATGAGAAAACAGTCTTATGTTGAGAGTGGAAAGGGTGGGGTATACGATTGGTGGCTTGAAGGAAAGTAGAAATACAGTTTGAAAAAGCTGTTGTGAGAAGCCACTTAACCTGTCTTGCTTTAGTTTCATCATCTGTAAAATGATAATAATAATACCCACCAAACAATGTTGTTGTGAGGTAACACTTGTAAAGTGCATCACAAATCTTAAAGGGCTATATAAATGCTAGTGTTAATCATGAGAACAAACCCCAAAATCTGAAATAGTTTTAGAAGGAAATTAGGTCATTTGGCAGGGGAAGAAAGCCAGAAGAATTCCCTCCTCAGTCTCTTTGAAGTTTATATTATATATGGTTTCAGAGAAGAGTATCAGCATGAAGATTGCATGTAGCAATTGCTTGAGATGTAAGCATAAACATTCAAATTTGGGGAACCCCCAAAACAAGCACTGGGTAGACTCTAATACCTGGGAGAGATCCAAGCATTCCCTGCAGCAATCCTGCTTTCTTGGAAGCATCCCTAAGGTCAGCCAATTTCTAGCCACATCCAGGTAGGTTCAAATAACATTGAGAATAAGGTTTTCTGGAAAATATGTAAGAAAAGATTTCCCTACACTACCTATATTCTAGTTATCATGATACTAGGAAGGATTACAGAGTAACAGTGAGCTTTAATAGCATGAATTAGCAGGGAATATAATTGTCAAGGTCTTGTAATTTATTCTACCCATTCTTATTGTATTCAGGTTAGTGGAGAGAAAGCAGCTCTGTTTCCCTTCTTCCCCTCCTTCCCCACCTAGCCCTCAGTTACTACTTTTCTTCTCTTTTATCCCCAGTTCTACCTCTTCCAATCCTCTCTCAATGATTGTCATCTCTTCTTTACTCCACCCCACCCTCATTTTATATATGTAGATATTATCATATAACATATTTATTATATATGTATTTATATATATGTATATATATATGTATATATATATACACACACACACACACACATATATATATATATATATATATATATATTTCCTATAACCATCCCCATTTGCTCTTCTTTGTCCATCCACAGTAATTTCATATCACCTGAGGGAGAGGGCACTGACCAGTGGGGGACAGGCAAGGCTTCTCATAAGAGATGATAACCTGAGTTGAGTCTTGAAGGAAAAGGATTCTAAGCTGAAGAGATGAGGATGGAGGGCATTTCAGGAATGGTGGGTGAGGAAGGAGGGAGAAAAGTTTATGCAAAGCCAAGAAGGGACATAGAATGCTAAGTCCAGGGAACAGTTTAAGTAGGCCAGTTTGACTGAAATATAGAGTACGTTAAGGGGACTAATAATGGATACGTTAGGAAAAACATGATGGAGCCAAACTGTTGAGAGCTTTAAATTCCAGAATGTTTTTATTTTATTCCAGAGGTAATAGGGAGCCACTGAAGATTTTTGAGCAGAGGAGTGACATGGTCAGAGTACAGTAGATTTAGTCAGAGGATGTGGGTTCAAATCTCACTTCTGTCATTTACTTCTAATGTGGCTTTGTGTAAGTTATTTAACCTCTCTGGGCTTCAGTTTCCTTATCTGTAAAATAAAGGACCCTCATTTGATTTGGGAGTCATCTGTAGGTTATGAAGAATAAAGGTGAATTGTACTTACTTGCAGCCTATATGATGTGGTCTTACTTCAGTTTTTTATGTGTATAAAGATGACATATGAACTAAGGAAACAGATGAGATCACCAAAGGAGAGGTTGTAGAGAAAAAAAGGTGCAGCATAGAGCCTTAAGAAGTACCCATCCTTAAACGGTAGGAGATGGATGATAATCTAGCAAAAGAGAATGTAGAGGGATTTAACAGATAGAAGGGCAATAGTAATAGCTGGCATTTATATAGGGCTTTACAAATATCTTAATTTATCCTCATAACAACCCTGAGAGGTAGGTTCTAGTATTAGCCCCCTTTTACAGCTGAGGAAACCAAGGGTTAATTGATTTCCTCAGGTTCACACAGCTAGTTAAGTACCTGAGGCAGGATTTGAACTCAGATTTTCCTGATTCCAAGTCTAGTGCTCTATCCACTTACCTAGTGGTAAGGAGGCCAAGGGAGTAAAGAATATCTCTAAGGATGAGATGATTTACAGTGTCAAAATCAGAAGATATATCAAGTGGGAAGGAAAATGAGAAAAGGACATTGGATTTAGTAGTAGAGGTCATTAGTAATTTTAGAGAGAGAAGTTTCAGGAGAACAATGGGGTTGGAAGCCAGGTTATAAGCAGCTGAAAAGTAAGTGGATGATGACATTGGAGGCAATGAAGTATGGATAACTTTTTGAAAAGTGTGGATAATTTAAAAATATCTTTACAACTTTTAAAAGTAATTACTATGATCTCCAAATTAAGAAGAAGCGTTGGAGCCAGCACAAGCCTTGTTTTTCTGATAGTAGAGGTGTTCAGAGAATGCCTCTTAGTCTAGGCACAGCAAAGAAGAGCACTCCAGGAAGAAAGGTGAGTGAAAAGGATGAGGGGAGGATCTGGAACCCAGTGGTTTCAGGAATGCCCCCAACAGGGTTATTGGGTCATATTTTAACTCTAGCCTGAAGCAACATATGACTTTCCAGGGTTGGTAGTGTTCTTTGAAAATTATTCACAAGATCATAGATGTGAAGTTAAAAGGGGGCTTCAGAGGTCTTTTAGTTTCAACTTCTTTTAGTTGCATAAATTGAGACCCAGAGACATTAAGCAAAAAAGACACCCAAAAACTTGTCCAATATCATACAGGGTGCAAACAGATGAGGTGGGATTTGAATCCAGATCCCTGGACTCTAAATCAATCCCACTCCACACTGTACTCTGCTACTTTTCTCCCTACAGACAGGAAGACAGGTGAGAGAATGGTTGGATTGGTCACTAGGCTACACTGAGATCCCTTGTTTGAACTCTCTTGATTCCTATCAAAGCTCCCAGCCCACATTTGTGATACTTTGTTCCCTTTCTCAGTTTTTCCCCTTCCTAAAGTATTTATTTTTCCTTTTCACTGAGACTCTCTGCTCACTCCATGTTCTATTGCCCTTTATTATTTACCTTTACTATATGTTCCTGCTACCACCTTTCCTTCTCTTCCCAGGCCTCTCATTATTAAATGAGATAATATTTGTAAAGCACTTGGCACAATGCCTGGCACAAAGTTGGTATTTAATAAATGTTTGTTTCCTTTCCCTCCATTCCTTTCCTTCCATTTCTTCTTTTGAATTTTTTTTCCCTTTCTTCTTAAAAGTATAAATCTAACTCTATTACTCCCCTACTCAGTAAACTCCAGTGGCTCACTACCTCCTCCAGGATCAACTATAAAATCCTCCATTTGGCATCCAAAACCCTTCATAACCTACTCCCCTCCTTTTCAGCTTTCTTGCACCTTCCTCTCTGTCCCTCTTTAAACAAGGTACTCCATCTCTTGACTTGCACTGATTGTCCCTGGAGAGCTTAGAATGTTCTCTCTCCTCATTTATTCCTCTTGGTTGGCTTCTTCAGTTTCTTTCAAGTCCCAGCTAAAAATCTTATGTTTTACAGGAAGACTTTCTCAGTCCTCCTGATTACTAGTACCTTCCCTCTGTGGATTATTTCCGATTTATCTTTTTTATAGCTCTTTTGGATATAGTTGTTTGCATGTTGTCTCCCTGTGAGACTGTAATCTTCCTGAGAGAAGGGACTGTCTTCTGCCTTTTTTTCCTAAGTCCAGTCAGTGCTTGGCATATAGCAAGAGCTTAATAAGTGTGATTGACCAACTGATCTGCCCTTAGATCTGTCACCATAGATTTATGACTTAAATCTATGACCACAGATTTATATCTGGAAGGGCTCTCAGAAGCCCTAGTCCAACTCCCTCATTGTATAGATAAAAAACAGAGACTCAAAGAGATTACTTAAACTCTTGTCCAGTTCACACAGATGATGTAGTTATCAAAGACAAAGATTTAAAAACAGGTCTTCTGATTCCCAAACCTGTGGTCTTTCTGTTATATCACACACTGCCTCCTTTATTATGCCATTATACTACACTACTACACATGTTTTCAGGACACCTCTGGACTGGGGGTGGGGATGTGTGTGGAGAAAGGATTGCCAAGTAAGTCTGACATTCTACTTCAATCTTAACTGCATCAAAATCTATCGTCTCATTTGGGGGACAGCGAAAAGACAACAGCTACTTACCATTTTCTATGGTAGTAGAACCTGTTGATACTTTGAAAATCATTATTCAGTTTTTCCTCAGTTTCTGCTCTTGCAGGTTAAATAAGCCCCCAAGTCCTTTAACATTTCCCCCATAAGCTCTATCCTTCTTTTTATTACTTTCTAGATTTTCCTTTAGTTTTCTCTTTCTCAGCTGCCACTAGATTGTTGCTCACTGAGCTGCCTGGGAAGAACATGAGGGCTAGGGTGTGATTCAGTTTCGTTTCTGAGAAAGTTAAAACACTGCTGGAATAGAAATTTTGGGAAGGAGTTCAATCTTAATTTTAAAGCTCCCAAATTTTCTGAGCTGTTTTCTCCTCACTTATTCTTATTCTCATTTCATCTTGAAAATGTTGAAGTTTGATAAGCTCATCTGTATATTTTTACATATATTTGCTTTTTAAACCCCACCTCTTGGGTTAAAGCCATTGAGTAAGTTTTAAGGAAATGAAACTGAAATAAAGTTTTCTAGTCTTTTAAGAGCTTGGCATGTTGATTGCTGATTGCAGGAACGTCTCTAAATTAAAGGAGAGAAAAAGAGTCATTTGGCAGAACATCCTGGACAGTCAGTAGGAGGGTCACAGGAATATCTATGCTGGGGAAAAGTAACTTCTGGTAAGAAAGAATGATGGAGGCAGTATCACTTTTGCTGGGTGAGTATGTGATTTTTTTTAATATTTAATTTTTTAAATAAAAGTACTATGGAATGTGTGTGACAGATTTGGTGGGGTTTTTTTTAAATCTCTGTTTCCAGTGTAATGAATTGCTCCCAGTGAGCTCAAAATACTGAATGAACCCCCTAACCACAGAGCCATCTAAAGAATGGTGAGATTATGTGACTGAATATGCTCTACTTCTGGGGCTCTTCTCTTTTTTTAAACTAATTTTTTTTCCCCTTTTATTCCTCCAGTCCCACTCCCACAACTTTAATTGATAGGGGACAACAGAGATGCATAGGAAGAGAGAGAGAAGCAAGGAAAGACACAAATCAAATTTTAACCTGGCCCAGCCCTGCTCCTTTCAGAATGCAAGCTGGTAAATTCACCTGAGGATTCTCTCTCACAGGGGTTGCTAATCACACAGCTATTATCAATATCAGGTTGTGATTATTTGTCTTACACAAAGTTCTTTTCTGAACTTTTCCAGCAAAGTTGGGGAATCTGATAGGTGGCTTTTGAATTTTGGACTAGAAGTAAAAAGGTTGGCTCAAACATGTCTGGATCTGTGACCTGCAATGGATATCATCTAAGAAGCTGCTATGAAAGAGTCTCAGATGATAAAGATCTAAAGGATCCCAGTTTCAGCTTGGAAACAGTCAAACTCTCTCGTGGTCCTCTCATGAGAGTCTCAGGGAGACACCCACAAGACTCTTCAGCATATAGCAGGGAAAGTAAAGATCGGATGACTCTGGATCACCTTCAGAGATATCCAAGCACAAATGAAACTCTGTATGTGACCCTTGAGGAGTTTCGTTTATGGAAGGTCCTACAGGGAACGCTGGATTTGTCTCTTTGGAAGGTAAAAGTTGGCTGGCAAATAGACCAGGACTCAGCAATCATTTTCTTCTTTGGTCCCCAGAAAGTGACTTTTAATGCCAAGATTGCCATCAGTAAACTGTTAATCCTTCTCAATTCCACTGTGAGAATGAATCCATCCCCTGGCCTGATTCAAGAGCGAAGAAGGATGAGTGGTTTCTTCCAGGTAGGAGATGACCTTAATCTCTATCTCTGGAAAGGAGAAGCTTCCACATTCCGAGCCTGTGTTACCATGAGCCTTAGCAGTGGGCCATTGGACAGACATAATGAAGTCAAAGCAGTGCCCAAGGTAAGGGTGCTGAGGCAGCATATCCTGAATGAGCGAGGTATACCCCAGGTGCTCCTACAAGTGGTGCTGTTATCCTCCTGGACTGGACCTAGCTCAAGGAGGAAGCCAGCTTCTATAGATGGAAGCCAGGAGCTGACAGCCAGTGCTGTCACTTTGGCACTGCAAGCTGCGTCCCGAGAGAAAAGTGCTTCTGTGGTGATCTACCCCACAGGTCCAGCAGCCCTAGCAAAGGGGATCGCTCTGGGAGTCAAGGCTTTTAAGAGCATTCAGCCCACAGGGAGCAGCCTGAAGAATCTGACAATTGCATCAAATGATAATGATTTTGTAGCTGAGTGTGAGGCGGAATGTTGCAGGTGGTGGCCCTGTGGAAAGGATCACCATGTCCTCCTTCCCTACATCATGAGCTCCTGGGAAGCTGTAATAACCCAGGTGGTGGTTGGAAGCCTCATTAGCCAGAAAGTAAGTGGTCACTATTGAGTCTAGTTCCGCTTAGATCAGTAGTCCAAATGCAGCCTTGGAAAGGGTCCGGGAATGATCAATAGTAATAATCAATTGGGCAGTGGGGATCTAGGGAAAGCTAAAAGAGCAATGGATAAAGAGAAAACTAAAGAACAGTAATAGTTCTGAAATATTCTAAGGGATTCAGAGGTTGTAACAACCTATTTTTTATCTCCTTTGAGAACAGAACAAAATAAAATAGGTTAGACACACAAGAAAGAGCATCTAGTCGGTGAAGACTATGAAACATGGAAAAGGTGACCAAGGAATACTATAGGCTTTCTTTCTGCAAGGATTTTTTAGAACATGAAGGATCCCTGTTTGGGCTAAGGGAAAGAGAAATGGAGGGCTCTGGCAACCTCAAGACTGAGGGAAAATGGTTTAGAATTCTATTACTTGATAGAAACTTTTTTAAAGAGGATATTTATCTTAATTTTTATTAGTTATTTCCATTCTTCTTTCTTCCTGGGATTTTCTTTTGTTCACAGACAGATGTGGTGGTTTTCCCTTGCATTCTGGAGCCCCACAATAGGAGTTGGGTCCAGGAGACATCTACCCAGGTCCAGGCAGCACTAGAGACCATTCTTGATGCCCAGGATCTCCTCCATGGAAACATCATCACCGTTCCTGCTTCCAAATTGCCTGGTCTGCATTGCCAGATCCTATATATCATCTGCCTAGATGCAAAATTAGTTCAACAGTGCCTAGAAGTCAGCAAGGTTTGGCCTAATGTTTGTTGGAATATGAATGAATTAAAAGGGATTTTATTAAGCATTTACTATGGGTAAAGTTGTTTCACAGGTAAACACACAGATAACACCATTTGTTGGGCAGGAGAATGTAAGAGGGCTCCTAACACTAGCAGGTGTTCTAGCACAGATTCGCTTTTGATCCAGTCAGACAGGAAGACAGCTTCAGAGGGGTTAAATAAGTTTACTTTATTCTAGTCTAGTCTTCTTAAAAGAGGGTTGCTGATAATGGGAGCACCAAATCCTACAGAATTCCGTAATCACTCTTCTCACAGGGGCAGGCGAGAATAAGAGTATAATTTCTCATCCCCTAAACCTCAGTGGGAGCCGGCTGAGACAAACACAGATTCCCCCTAAGCTTTGATGGGGGGCCAATCAGGCAAGTACATGCATTCCTCTATGCATTACCCAAATCCCAAAATGGGCTCCCCCCCCACTGACCGGCATCCGCTGGCCTTTTAAGGCAACAGACAAAGAAGGCATCTTGCCAACATTAAGCTTCCAGGTTAACTTTAGCATTATCGTCATGACGCAGCATAGCAGAGGCGCACATCATGTCATCTCTATATCTCACTGCATGAGCACAGTGGAGATATTTTCAACCATAATTGTTGGGAAATATTATCTAGGATCCTGGAACTATTATCTAAAAAGAATGACAAAATCTGCCTTACACACACTAAAATTCACCTCACTTACAAAAGCATTGTACTAAATGCTGGCCTTACAAATAGAAATAATAAGGCAGTCCTTGCTCTCAATTAACTCACATTCTAATGGTTTGGGAGACTACACATTTAGGAGGTTTCAGCTGCAAGTCAGATGGAAAGGTCCCATGGTCCTTAGGATACAGGAACAAAGCTGATGGTAATGCATTTTTTTAATGTCACTTCCACTGATAAAATCATACCAGTTTCTGATGTTTAGTTATTTTATAATGCCAAAGTCTTTGGAGGTGGGAACTTTCCTCTTGAAATCTTTAGTACTTGCAGGTGCTGAGGCCAGGCTATATAACTATAAAAGCAGTTGCCAGGGTGCATCTCCATAGGGTTGTTACTAGGATGACAGCTATAGGAGCTGGGCTAGAAGTAAAAACATGAATGATATGTACTGCCTTTACTGGTGCTCTTAGGTTTATCTGCCTGTCAGGGGAAATTAGTCAGTGGTTGGCGCTGGTGGTAATTGTGAGAAAGATGAACCTTATCAACAGTGATTACTCCTTTCCATGATGACTGTGGAGCTGAGGTGGAAATAGGGCCAGTGTTCTAGGGGTACTGGCTGCTATTTCCAAGGCTCTTGGGTTTAGGTCAGGGCTTAGGCTGGCTTACCTTTCCCATAGGTAGTGATTGGTTGGCAGTTAGTGGGGATGACTCAACCCTTGTCCAGTAGAGTTGCTTTTCTATGGGTCAAAAATGGATAATGGCTGAGGAGATTGAGCTGGAAGTAGGACTAGTGGTTTAGGGGCCACTTCTTGATGTCATGTACTGCTTATAAATTAATCTTTATCAAGCCAATATCACATTCTCAGTTTAAGACCCTTAGTTGTCTGAGGTAAAGGTGGGGACCTTTGGGGTATGATTTCTCTTTCTTGTCTTGCAACTTGGAGAGTACCCTTAAGCTTATCTACCTTCTAGAGAGGAGTCAGGTGAGCGGGATCTTATTGGAATGGACTGTCTTAAATCTCCCTTAATTCAGGGTTATTTCCAGTGTCTCTGAAATTGTATAAAATGATGAACTAGCTAATCAAGAAAGCTTTTCCCTCTATCTACTTGTTCCTTCCCTATTGTCTTCAAACATTCTTTCATATTTTTTTTTCACTTCAATCCTACCAATGCCTGGAGCTATAGTCCTTTTTTCTCTTTCTTCACCAAACTCCTAGAAAAAGCAGTCAACACTCATTGCCTCCATTTTATCTCTTCCCACTCAACACCTTGCAGCCTAGCTTCTGACTTCCTCATTCAACTGAAACTGCTCTCCCCAAAGTTACCAACAATCCAAAAAGCAAAACAAAACCCCAAAGCTACCAACAGCTAAATTGCTAAATCTTATGATCTTTTCCTCAATCACACAGTTTAGGATAGCCAGGAAGAAAAGTGGAGATAGGATTCTCTCTATGCTTCTAGTTTGTGGAACCCCAGGAAGGCTGATTTATCTAGATCATAGAGTGTTTGGAGAAGGGTAATGTATAAGAAAACGAGAGAATCTTGGTGATATGTCTAGCTTCAGTATGTGTCATTGGGTCTTGAGAGTAGGTCTTGGGGCAGCTAGGTGGCGCAATGGATAGAGCACCGGCCCTGAAGTCAGAAGGACCTGAGTTCAAATCCAGCCTCACACCAAACACTTGACACTTACTAGCTGTGTGGCCTTGGGCAAGTCACTTAACCCCAATTGCCTAAAAAAAAGAGAGAGAGAGAGAGAGAGAGAGAGAGTAGGTCTTGAGCCCCAGTCTTCTTGACTGAGCTTTCTGAGGCTGCTATCTATCCACTAGCCCATACTGGCTGTCAGGAATATTTCCCATTCCTGTTGATTCAAACATGTTCAAACATACTGACCCTATTCTGCAAAACTGGTGTAATGCTGGGTTTTTTGGATTTAGGAGTCAAAAGGCCTGGCTCCAAGCTATTTGCCAGCGGTGCAGATGTGGGAAAGTTGCAAACTACTCTAAATCTCAGTTTCCCAATTTTTAAAATGGAGATAATAAACCCTGAACTCTCCTGTCTACCTCATAGATTATTGTGTGGTGAGTATTTTGTAAACTGCAAAGCACCACAAATATGGGAGCTTCTTTTACTGTTTTGAATAATGTTTTTTCTAATCATCAACTAATGAAGTGGTATCAGTGATGAAAATGGACCAGTCCTACCTGTGGCTCCCTGCCCATTATCAGTCTGTTCTTCCTTTCTGTTTGCTTTGGTCCAGTCCACATTGGGGAAATAACTTCCCAAATACTTGATGTCTATTGGCATATTTGTCCTTTTATTGTGTGTGGGTTTTTTTTTTCTTTTGGCTAGGCAATGGGGTTAAGTGACTTGCCTAGGGTCACACAGCTAGTAAGTGTTATGTGTCTGGCGTCACATTTGAACTCAGGTCCTCCTGACTCTAGGACCGGTGCTCTATCCATTGCGCCACCTAGCTGCCCCTGTCCTTATATTGTTAATTTTCCACAGGTTTACATCTCATCTGTCCAACTAGATAATAAGCAAATTGGTATCTCTATCAGGTTAGGAACTTTATCTTATCTTTCTTTGTATCTACAGTATCTATCATTGTACCCTATACATTTTATAAGTGCATAATAAATATATATTAATTGAAAGGATGGGAGAAATGCAAAAATGTCTTGAACCTCAGGAGCAGACTAACCCAAGAAGTGCCTTTTCCTGGTGCATGCATAGGTCTGGCAACTTCCAATTCTATTTGTCTCTGATCCTCTTTCAAGCCTATCAATCCCTTGTGACTTCATTTAAATGTATTGAGTCAGGAGGAAGGGAGAAATTGCCAAAGTGCACCCTATGTGCTTTATCCTATTTCCCATACAAATCTTTGCCCCAGCTTCTGTTGCTTCCCACCAAAGAACAGACACTTTTATGGAGACAGACAGGCTATATATTTGTAATTATACTTGCATTGTAATTATAATTATAATTTTAATTGTATTTATATTTTAACTTTCATGATTATTATGTATTTCAGCGGATCATTCACCAGGTGGTCTGGAGCTGCTTGAACAATTTCCTTGGCTCTTTTCTGGAATCCATCTCCTTTCCCATGTTAGACCTGCAGATTCCTGGAAATTTCAACTCCTTGCACATTATGTTGGAAGAGATCAATTACTTCTTAAAACAAAAACCCAATACGTGGATGAAACTAGTACAGATAATTCAGCCACTAAGAGTAGCCACTCCTCAGAAGGTAAAGTTTCAGTGAATCCAACATCAAGCATCATGGACAGAGGTACCTTAGACAAAAGTGTGAATCTTCCCTCTTGCCTTCCTGGCTTTAGTATGCTTCTGATACCACCACTGCTCTGATTCTAGTGTCCTCAGCTGCTTGCTGCCTGGAGCCCCAGCATTTCATTGCCATATTCTAGTTATTGTTCCCTGAATTGTGCCCCTTGCTCCAAAGCTATGCCGTCAAACTTTCATTTCCCCAAGGGCAGCTACTCTCACTTAGCTTTCTAGGGTGATTCAACCTGGTAAAATAAATTCACACTGAAGTGGGAGTAACTGATTACCTAGATCAGTGGCAGGGAACCTACAGCCTCAAGGCCACATGTGGCCCTCTAGGTCCTCAAGTGCAGCTCTTTGACTGAATCCAAACTTCACAGAACAAATCCCTTTAATAAAAGGATTTGCTCTGTAAAACTTGGACTCATTTAAAAGGCTGCCACCCAAAGACCTAGAAGGTGACAGGTAACCTCAAGGCTGCAGGTTGCCCCCTCCTGCCTAGATTAATATATTACTTCTCTTAGGCAGATTTGCACTTTAATAGAAAAACTAATTAATCCAAATTATTAGATCTCTAGTGGTAGAATTAAGGAAGGTATTTTGGGGACAGATGGTTTTCTTCTATCAAATTATAGCAGATTGCTGGTTTGAGGTGGGCCAGAGACAGCTGAGGTTTTAAGCAGGAGTCCTTCCCCACAGAAACAATAATGAAGGGAAAGTCAATGACACTAGATGCACAGTTTTGTCATCTGTTCAGATTATTGATTTGTAATTATAGGTCTAATGCCCAGGTGCTTTCAAGGACTAATATGAGAATATATAGGCTGTTCAGTTCTTTAGAGATTAACACAGCCAAATCCAGAGACTCTTAGACCCTTCTAGAAAAGATATACAAAGTTGCAGTGCTTCAATGTTTATAAGTGGCATGGTTTCTTTGTTTACTTGAACTTGATTTGTTTTAAATATGTCAGGGTTCTTTCATCTTTCCCTTTCAGGTGATTGAATATTTCAAGACCCCTCTTGGTAAGTACACTGTCTGGGAATATCATAGAGTTGACATTACTCAGCTTTCCAGAGACTTCGAGCATCTTCTCATTCACAAACATTTCCGTTCTTCAAAATTTTCATCTAATCTCACATGTTTATCAATGTAGTGATTCATAGCCTACTTCCTCATACTCTCAAGGGCATTAGGCTAAAAGACACATAAATCTGTGTACCTGTTGCAGTTATGATATACTTTATGCTTTACTTCTCAACTCCTACCTTTACCCCAGCCTAGTCACTAAGACAAGAGAAAGAAGGGATACAATGAATTCAAATTATTTTGTATTATTATATTGGTCAACTGTGTTCTCCTTTCTTCTAGAAGCCATCAGTCTCTGTCAGAAAGAGGACCGAGCTTTCATCCAGTACCTTAATGACTTCCCAGCTGTTTTCCGAGAATTTGAAGATGATTTAAGGAAGATAGGCTGTGTTTTCCAAACTTGTGCCTCTTTGGGAGTGCTTAAATTTATAGCAGAAGGAGAACACTTAGATCCATCTAGCTGGGAGAAAGCTGTGGAAGATGCTTTTCAGAAAAATAAGAAGAGATATGCTGTTCACTATGAGTCCAACTCAGATATTCTAAATGTTCTGAAGAAGCAACAATCACTAGTGAAGTCTTTTACAACCATACGAGAATATGAAGGCCCTTGCTTTGTAGGTCCAACTGAGAAAATGAAGATGTTTGTACAGTGTCTTCAGGAAATGGCTTTCGATGAAAAGTCGGTGTGTGTGAAACATCCCATTCTCCATCTGCCTAGATATATGGTGGTCAAAAACACAATAAGCAAATTGCTCCTTCTTCCTCACTCTCCCGTAACTATAACCTTGGAGGAAGATCCTTTAGGGATGATTACTTTCCAGGGACCCCGACAGGATGTGATTGAGGTGGAGAGGCAGTTTTATAGTCTGCTGAGTGGTTTTAAGGATTGGCCAATCTCACTTTCCCCATTTCAAGTGCAATTTATCCAGAGCCTCCAGGAAGAACTCTTTAATGAAAATTTTTTCCTTGCCAGAGATATTTCGGCAGTACTGAACACTTCTGATGGAGTTATGATTTTGGGGCTTGACTTTGGAGAATTGGTACAAGCAGAAGAATTACTGAAGACCCTGGTTTATGAAAGGAAGATTGATATAAGGGAAGAGGTCCAGTGGGCAGCCAATAGTCTGGAATGGGAAGCTCTACTTACAGCACTAAATAGTGAAAAGAAAGTCACTTTCTATAGTGTCAAATCTCTGCAAGATATCTTGACTTCAGTGGTCATAGTGGGCAGTAGGGTTGAAGTAGCTGAGGCAGAGCTCAATATTCAGGAATATTTGATGAGTTATTCAATAATTGAAGATAGAATTATTTCCCCCCGACCGGAGCTGGCTGAAGCCAGAGAAAACCTACTTCGGATAATGAACTGGGGAGACTTAAAGGTGAATATTTGGATTCAGACCAACCATTCTACTTTAACCTTGAAATTAAAAGGACTGAGAAGACATGTAAAAGAGGCCAGAGGAGTTGTTCAAACTGATCTAGATTCATTGACTGTGAGAAGCATCCCCATAAGGCACAGAGGAGTACAACAATATCTTTTGGGGATTGGAGGTACAGTTCTTCTCACATTTGCTGAAGAACTCCAATGTTTGGTGAAGATGCAAGTACCAGAGAAAACTACAAATGCTTTGCTCTCCGAGGTTTCAGCCTGTAGGGCAGAAAGTGAACTGGTAAGAGTCATCAATTCTTAATTAAAATTACAGCAGTGAAAGGGAACTTGAGGAGTCTTCCCCCTCTCCCCTTATTCTAAGACTAGAAAAATGCCTCTTCTATTCTCAGAGGACTTTAAAGTAAGAACCCAGCCTTGCTTATGCTCTTTTTGGTGTTCACTCATTAATTAAATATTTGTTAAGTGCATTGTACATATAACACTGTGCTGAACAATGGAGGAAGTTCAAATTTGGTCCTTCCCCTCAAGGAGTTTATAATCTAGTAGGATGTATACATATAAAGGCATCTCAGAGATATTGCAGGTTCAGTCTCAAACCATGGGAATAAAGTAAACATTGCAAAAAAGCAAGTTGCCTGAATTTTTTGGTTTCCCTGTGCATAGAAAAGTTATGCTTATACCGTACTCTAGTTTATTAAGTGTGCAATAGTGTTATGTCTAAAAAATGTACATACCTTAATTTTAAAATATTTTATTGTTAAAAAATGCTGGCCAGCATCTGGGCCTTCAGTGAGTCATAATCTTTTTGCTGGTGGAGAGTCTTGTCTCAATGCTGATGGCTGCTGATTGATCAGGGTGGTGGTTGTGGCTGTGGCAATTTCTTAAAATAAGACAACAGTAAAATTAGTCACATCGTGAGTCTTCCTTTTTTTACTCGAACACTTAAAGGCCATTGTAGGGTTTTTAATTGTCCTAATTTCAATTTTGTTGTATCTCAAGGTATAGAGAGGCCCAAGGAGAGGGAGAGAGACAGAGAACAGCCAGTCAATGGAGTAGTCAGAACATACACAACATTTATTGGTTAAGTTCGCCCATCTTATATGGGCATGGTTTGTGGTACCCCAATTCAATAGTAACATCAAAGATCAGAGATCACCACAATAGATGTAATAATAATGAAAAAATTTGAAATATTGAGAATTACCAAAATGTGATACAGAGATAAGATGTGAGCACATGCTGTTGGAAAAATGGCCTCGCTACACTTGCAGTATTGCCACAAACCTTCAATTTGTAAAAAATGCAATATCTGCAGAGCACAATAAAGCACAATAAAACAAGGTATGACTGTATATAAATAAATATTACACAATGTTGGTGTTTAATAACTTTTAATATTGAAGTATTGGGAAGCAAGTTAGATTAGATGATTCCTAAAGTTCCTTTTAACTCTAAGATTCTATGACCAAGTCCTACATTATTCCAAAATGTCCTGGATTTTGAGTTCTTGTCCCACTTGACAACATACTGGGAAATAACCCTCACTGACCCATTTTAGCTCCCACTGGCTTTTGCAATCTTCCTTTTTTCACTCTAACTTTTCTCATCTGTGCTTGGGATGAATTTTCCCATATTTGAGCAAATTTCTATGCATAGATCTATATCCATCACTTATTCATTTCATAAAATCCATTAGGATCACTCCTTGTGTTCCATATTAATCTGACTTGCAGTCAGTATAAAAAAATCTTTCTGAGGTCTAACCACCATCTCACTTGTGGCATTTTTGGTCCATTTATTTGTACTCTTTTTAGTAAACACTGACTAGTATCTTCTACATAATAATTCTTTGCATATTTGGATATCATTTAGTGGTTCTACCAGATGAGTCCAGAATTTCAAGACACGAGGACAGAGTCTCGTAATCAGCTGACTAACAATGGGATTTATTTTTAGCACATTTTAAATCTTGCTACTTTGTTAAAGCTTTTGTTTCAAATAATTTTTAAAATTTCAATCACTGAGGTTTTTTAAATAGGCAATCATATTATTTGGCACCATAATTTTGCTTCCTATTTATCAGTTTATTCCCTTGATTTTATTTTCTTATCTAATTGCTATAGCTAGCATTTCTAGCTCTATGTCAAACAATGGTGGAGACACTGGACACCTTTGCCTTACTCTTGATCTTATTGGTAAATATTCTAATATCTCTCCAATTATGTTTTAAGTAGATATGTTTTACCATGATAACTGACAGTTAACAAACCAATTTAGTGGATAGTGTCCTGGGCTTCAATCTTAATTCTGGTTCTAGGAAGCAAAGTAGTAAGTGAAATAATCGGGGGCCACCAACCCTCTCCAAACTTGTAAAGTTTGATTGTGAATGTCATGGTAGTTAGGATGAATAATGTTTTTTAAATGGTAGGTAGACTAGGGAAGTGGGACTCTACAAATAAACTAATCTGGGTAAGTGGAACCTAACTACCTCTGAATATACTAATTATCACCAAATAGAGATGAACACAGAGGTTAGCAGCACTTAAGGATTGCTCTTAATGGATTCATCAGTAATTCAGTCAGTAATTTTGTGTCCCTATTCCCCATCTTTCCTCTGGGGGAAGGATTCCAGTCTAACTAGACTGCATCATTGGTCAAATATCAGTGTTCTCTTCAAGCCTTTTAGTCCAATTAGTTTCTTGTTTTTTAGATTAGAAAAAAACTTTCTAAATGAGAAATGGAATAATAGTTTATAAGCTTCTGAAACTCAGCATCATGTAAAGTAGTCAAAAGAAAGATCTTCTCCAAGTCTTCCGGGGAATGTCATGTTTTGCTAATGTATTTAGTAGGTTTCTTCCTCTTTCTTCCTCTTAGACATCTGTCCATGAGCTCCTGAAGGTTCTCAGAAGATACAGAAATGAGCATTTTACTTTTGGTAAGGGTGAGGAGATGTTGTCCTGTTCTCTGGGATCCCTATTAAATAGCTGAATTATTTTTCTTTCATCTCCAGATGCATGGGAATTTGGGGGCATCATTCCACTTGGAGATAATCGTGCTCCAGCTAGAAGTATCCTCTTCCCAGTTATTGACAAAATGGCAAAGGAGACATAAGCAGCAATCTAAAGATACTGTAGTGCCTATGGTTGCTCAGCATTTTCAGAGCAATGGTACACATTATCTTCTGAATACTGTTCTGTGCCTTCTTTTAGCATTGAAAATGTCAAAGGGACCAATGTGTAGGAGGAGAAAGGGAAGAAGGAAGAGGAGGAGGATCACTATTACTAGTTGGCTGAGCTATCAATCAGCATCAAGCCAGTCAGATACAACAACTAGCTAAGGAAGAGAATAGGCATTCATATAGCGCTTACTATGGGCCAAGCACTGTTCTAAGTGCTTTTATAAATATTGTTTCATTTGATCCTCTCAACAACCCTGTAAGGTAAGTGCTATTGTTATCCCCATTTTACAGTTGAAGTTAAAGAGTTGCCCAGGGTCACACATCTAGTAAGTATCTGAAGTTGGATTTGAATTCTGGCTTTTCTGAATCCCATTCCTGCAATCTATCCATTGTATCACCAAGTGCCTCTAATTAAACCATTGATAACTAGCCATACACTAATTGAAACTCAGTCAGCCAATGATATTGGTGAAAATAGAGAGTAGTAGTTTCCTCTAAATTAAACTTCATATTTTTATCACTGTAGGTTAGATTTGTAAAAGGATCTTAGCGTTATATAGTTCAACTCCTACTTCCTCAGCTATTCCTAAGGTTTGATGAGTATATGGAAATTCATGCATATAACACTTCTGTGTATGAAAATTTCTGTATGTAATAAGTTTCTGAATAAGTGGAAATTCCATCTTGTCGTCTTAAAAATTAAAAAAAAAAATTCTGACCTTGTCATCCTTCCACAGTTTGTTCTCTATTCATTTAATTTTTTTAAATAGTAGTTGAAAGTTGGGGACTTCCACAAGTCATCTTGTCTTGGGTCCGCAAGCTAAGTGGGTTGCCATTAACAGCATTAAGAATGTTTATGGGTACTATTAGAAGCTCAATATATGAAGAGAAGAGGAGAGAGAGAGATCAATCTGATCAATGTAGTCTTTTAACTCTCCTTTGCAAACATGTTTCTGAAATCTTAGTCCTTTGCTAGAGTTCTAGTATAATTCATTATTTTCCTGATAGCAATTAAATTAGAAAATAGTTGCTCCCATTTTCTACACGCTAGTCCTTCAGAAACTGAAGGCAATTATTCAGCCTTTTTTCAGAGTAAGTAATTTCAATTCTTCTGACCTTTCCTTATATATCCCATTATTCTAGGCCCTTCATAGGCAGCATGGGGTCAGAATGGGTCAGGTTTTGCTTTGTTCAAGAATCTGGGATATTTGACTCATTACAAATCTCTTATCTCTCAGGTGACTCTCCACTAGGACTGGTTCAGGTATTAGGTCGGGAAGTGAATTTAGCCAAATTTCAAGAAGCTTTTGAGGACTTTATGAATGGGTTTTACAGTGAAACATTCAACAGTGATAAAATAGTCACTTTCAGTGAAGACTGTCTTCAAGAGGTCTTGGATCAAGGGTACTATTTCCCTCTCAATCTGCATCGTCATGGGAACCTCTTAAAGATCCAGGGCTTTCAAGAAGATGTGAAGAAAGCTGCCACTGCTGTCCAAACTGTCATCCAGGAAGCTCAGGACACAGATAGAGCAGAAGACATGAAATCAGTGGTTCAGTGGAAGTATGATATTGGGAACACAGGTCTTTCTCCATTTGACAAAACCATAAACCTAAAATTGGAAACAGCATATAGGAAGGAAGAAGAGAACATTGAAATCATCTTGGATTCTAGAAGAACCCAGGTCAACTTGAAGAAGAGGGAGGGTTTGGTGCCAGACACAGGGACAATCTTTAAAATAAAGCGGGAAATCTACATATGGGGTGAGTTCTCCCTTCCCTTTAATTTTCATTTCTCACTTATTGGGGGTTTACTTGGCTTTATCTTTTTTCATTAAGCTCTCATTCCTTCACAGATTCATCCTCAATAATTTCTCTTAAATAGGAGTGAGAGGTGGTCATTGATATAAGTTATTGATATGAATCTTGGATGATGTTTATGGAACTTAGAAAATTGGAAATTTGAGGTGGTAGTCCTTACCTTGTCCTGAACTATTTTTTCACTGGGGTGCCCTATCTAGTCAATTTCTTAGTTGCTGATAATGGGAGAAACATAAATATTTGAAACCCACTGTTAATCCAAAAGGCACTTTTAAAAAAAAATTTTTTTGCTAGGCAATGGGGTTAAGTGACTTGCCCAGGGTCACACAGCTAGTAAGTGTTATGTATCTGAGGCCGGATTTGAACTCAGGTCCTCCTGACTTCAGGGCCGGTGCTCTATTCACTGCGCCATCTAGCTGCCCCCCCAAAAGGCACTTTAGCCAATCATTCTAACCTGTATTTTATTTTTACTAATACATTGAATTTGAACACTCAAATATCTAAATGACACCACTCCCAGGACATTCTCTGAAATGTTAAATAAAATTGTAACTAATAATACCATAGATTTCTACACTTGTAGTTTACCAATTGCTAACAGACAGGAAGGCCATGTTAATAATTTTTACCCTTTTCTCACACTTAATTTTTTTCATCAGAGCTCTGAACAAAGGTGTCTAATGTGCTTTTCATTTCCCCTTTCTCAGGATTCAGTTAACTGGCTGAAAAAAGAACAATTTAAAAGATACTCTAGCCTTTAAGTTGTTAAGAGTTCAAAAATAAATGTAGCCACTCAATTCAACAAACATTTATTAACTGCTTACTATATATAGGGCCAAACAGGGCCACACTGCTTCCCTAAAACTCAGAAGGAAATAAAACTCTTCTAAGTAATAAAGAAAAGCAGATGAATATCTTGAAGCCAAATGTGAGGATAAACTATTCTGTATATTTGTTTCATTCCCTTCTTTAATATAGGAATATGTAGCTCCAATAACAAAACATTCTGTCCTTGGATCCTAGGAACAAAATGGCGGCTGACCATTTCTAGAAAATTCTCAATATTTAATTCAACAAACATTTATTAGGCACATAAGGTGTGTAGAATGCAGTGCTAAGTGCTGGGGGAAATGTAATTAGCATATTCAAGTAGGGAAATGTGACATATGCATCTCTCTCTCTCTGTCCCTCTCTCCATATGTGTGCGTGTGTGTGTGTGTATATATATATATATACACATACATATATATACATACATACATATATACATACATACATATATATACATATATACATATATATACACACACACACACACACACACACACACACACACACACACCCACACCCCAATGGGCACTGATGAGCAAGGTTAGGCACTGATCATGTGGTTAGGTTGCTATGGATGAGCTAGTCCAAGGCACATGAGCAATCAATATTCTCTTTCTTCTCAGATATTAGTGATTTTGAAGTATGATAGGAAAGCCCTGTGTCATATTCCTTGAAAAGGTGACTTTTATTTCTCAACTATATACGCTTCTGACTTCTTGTCTCCTTCCCACACCTCCCCTCCCTAAAAAAAACTCTAAACAACCCAACAACAGAACAAAACAAAAAACAAAACTATTTTACAGTACCTTAGTCTTGAATTTGGGCAGCTAGGTGATACAGTGGATAGAGTGGCAGGACTGAAGTCAAGAAGACACATCTTTCTGGGTTCAAATTTGACCTCAGACACTTACTAGCTGGGTGACCCTGAACAAGTCACTTAACCCTGTTTGCCTGAGTTTCTCATCTATAAAATGAGCTGGAGGAGGAAATGGCAAACCACTCTGGTAACTTTGCCAAGAAAACCCCGAGTGGGGGCCACAAAGAGTCAGATACACTGAAATGACTGAACAACAACAAATGGTCTTGGATGCTATTATAAAGGTTTGTGAAAGTCCAATACCAGTCTCTCTCCTTACCTTCCTTCTCTGTTCCAGCCTCCCGGTTCAGTTCAATTGAACCAAATGTTTATCTAGTAAAGGGGAAATTCCTTTTTGGTCTTATCTATATCTGAATATTAAATTAAATACAACAAGCAATTCCAGTGCTTATTGGCCAACAGTTTTGTTTTTTAAATCACATTTAACAGCTTAGAAGTAAAAATAAAAGTCATTTAGGAAAATGACTAAAGTTTTCTGAGTCCTTCCCTTTGTTCCCTGATTCTCCAGTCTTTCAAATAGCCTGGTAGGGATGAAGTGAGTTTATAACCCACCATACATTTGGCACCCCTCCTGGACAGTGGGAAAGAGAAGAAAGAAAAGGATGTTATAGTCTTTCTCCCTTATCATCCCAGGGTCACCCTGCAGGATCATCATGGCTATTCATTCTGGTTCAATCCCTGCCTGCTTGAAACAGCTCTTCCTGGCAGTTGCTTCTGATGGGTCCTCCGTGAGGTCTCATAAGGGCCATCACCCTTGCATCTTCATAATTGCGATGGTTTCCTGCTTCTTCTCACCCCTTCAAACTTAAGATTGGGGTCAATATTCATGTAGGAGTTGGGAATCTGGGTAATTAGTCCCATCAGCCGAGTATTTCTGCTTCCTGTGGGTATTGTCAAGGTTAGACTACATATACAGAAAACTACAATACAAAATAGTACATAAATGCATTAGAAAAGAAAAAATAAAGCATCCCAATATAAGAAATAGGAAAGCTCACAAATTTCACGTAAGATTCTAAAGATACTTCCAATTTTTTGTAATAGACATGAATATCCCTGAAATTTGGGAACCGATGGATGATAACCCAGTGAAGATTGTGAAACTCTCACCAAATCTAGTGGAGTACCAGAGAGTAGCCAGGAAGTTCAATCACTCCATGGACAGGAGTGCCATCCATAAGGTGAATTATGTTTAACAAATAAGTGATTATGCTCATTAACTCAATGTACAAGGAAACACTGTTGAATATAACATTATTACAATCTTATATATATGTTATAAAGACTATTATCCCTAAAAAAAATTCTTTGTTGTCTCCTCACATTTATTATTATCTCCCTTCTCTCTTTTTCTCACTACTTTCTTTCTCCTAAACTGGTTGTGAGTAATCTTTAAGATAATATGTCTGGGTTTAGACTGTAGCTGGAAGGGATCTTAGACATCATCTAATCCAAATGTTTTATTTAACAAATGGAGAAACTGAGGCCCTGAGAGAGGAAACAACTTGCTCAGCATCACATAGCTAATAGAACCAGGTCTAGAACCCAGGTCTTCTGACTCCTTAGTCCAATGCCTGCTGTTTCCACTACACCATATTCATGTATGAAATAACCAAAAGTTAGAAAAAAAGATAATGTGAAATTTAACCTCCCATTCCCAATCTCTCATTTCACAAGGTTCAAAAGACTTTTTAAAGGAAGGAGAGATGCTCGAGCTTCCTAGCTCTAGAAGTAGACATGGGAACTTATAGTGGTCTACATTGGGAATTACTTACTCATTCAGTTAAATCTCATTTGGGAAAATGTGCATACCCTTTGACACAGCAATAGCACTTTTAGGGCTATATCCAGAGAGATCATACAAATGGGAAAAGGACCCACATGCACAAAAATATTCATAGCATTCATAGCAGCTCTTTTTGTGTGGCAAAGAATTGGAAATTGAGAGGATGCCCATCAATTGGGGAATGGCTGAGCAAGTTGTGATATATGAATATAATGGAATACTGTTATGCTATAAGAAATGATAAACAGGCTGACTTCAGAAAAGCCTGGAAAGACTTGTATGGTCTGATGCTGGTGAAGTGAGCAGAACCAAGGAACGTATACAATAACAGCCACATTGTGCGATGACTAAAATTGTTAAACTTAACCCTTCTCAGCAATACAAGGATTAAGACATCCCCAGAGGCCTCATGTTGGAAAATGTTATCCACATCCAAAGAAAGAACTATGGAAGTTGAATTGCTATCTTTTTTTCCCTCTTCTGTTGAGTTTTGTTTCCTCTTTCTGATGGTTCCTCCTATTGGTTTTAATTTTTACTTACAACTTCACTAACAAGAAAATATGTTTAATAGGAATGTAAATGTATAGCCTATATCAGATTGTGCACTGTCTTGGGGAGGGTGGTGGGGAGGAAGGGGTAGAAAAATTTTAAACTCAAAAGCATATGGAAGAGATTGTTGATAAATCAAAATAAATTAATAAAATAAATCAAATAAACTCTGAAAAAAAATCTCATTTGGAAATGTAGGTGTTATGAAAACAAAATATGCCTAGAAAAATATATTAATCTCAAACCAAAATTTTAAAAACAAAAGATTAAAAAAAAAATTTGTTTTCACATGCAACTGGGAAATAAGATGTACAGGAAATGGGGTGTAGAAATCTATCCTGCCCTATAGGAAAATTGAAGGGGAAGGGAATAAGAGAAGTGGGGGGAGAGATAGAAGGGAGGGCAGATTAGGGGTATTCAGAATGCATGCCATTTTGGGGTGGGTGGAGGGATGAGATGGGGAGAAAATTTAGAGCTCAAAATCTTTTGGAAGTGAATGTTGAAAGCTAAAAATAAATGAGTTAATTTTAAAAAAAGATAAATGGAAAATTATATATATATATATATATATGTTAATCTCATTTGAATGATAATTAGGCCCTCTCTCTTTGATTTTGATATTTAGATAGAAAGAATACAAAACCCATATCTCTGGACCTCTTACATTTACAAGCGGAACTGGATGGAGAAAAAGAATCCCCCAGGAGTGAGGAATGAGAACTTCCTTTTCCATGGAACACCAGCACAGAACTGCTCATCCATCATTGAAAATGGGCTAAAAAGCACCTGTAGGCAAAGTGAGTATGCCACAACTGAGAGAGAGTAGGGCTTAATGCTGCTGAAATTCAGGTTTATTTTTCCTGAGTTCTGGGCTGACTTGATTACACCTGTCGCCTGGTAGTTTAGGTGTGATAATGGAACAAAATGAAATACTTGTAGGTCATTCAAAGGAAAGTTACTTAGCAAGCAGAGAGAAGGATATTCAATAAAGATGGGCACTGAGGATACTTCTCGTTGATTCAGCTGAGCAAGTCTCCCTTGCCTGAGTTATCCCTAGTGATCCACCAGGCAAGCATCAGGTCACCAAGAGCTCTTCTTGTATGCTTTGTACTCAGCAACCCGTAAGTGATGTCAACACCCTGATCCTTTAATTCCCCATGCCAATCAACTCTTGGGGATGATCTCAATACCTTTTAAGGAAAAATTATCCTAGATCCATTGAAATAGGAGTTGTTCCTACTATTGTTCCTACTGGAAACTGTATTCATCTGCCCCAAGGGATATTTAGCTTGTCCTTTGTTTTATGTCCAAGATTTAGTTAACAAGTCCTTATTTTTTCTAGATGGACTGTATGGCCAAGGATCTACTTTGCAGTGGATGCTCGTATGTCCTCCCAATATTGTGGAAAAGGCGTCAAAGGATCCAAGCTTATGTTCCTGGTCCGGGTCCTTACTGGAGAGTACTCTAATGGTCATTCATCAATAACATTACCTCCAGAAAAGCCAGGAGGAGGGAGATATGATAGCTTGGTTGACTCAATAGGTATGCCAAAGATATTTGTAACCTTTTTTGATGACCACTCATACCCACAGTATTTAATCACATTCCACTAATCAGGTGTGGTTTTGTCTAGGTCCTTTGAGTGAATCTCTAAAACAGCTCCTTCAGTGTAGCTGTGGCCTCAAGTAAATATATATTAAAATAGGAAAACAGAAGTTCTAGTGGCCAAGACTACACATCTGGCAATTTTCATTTGTTTTATCTGTTGTAGTGCTGGTCCAAACTATGTTATGTTCTAGCACAATATAAATTAGACATAATCACAAGCCAAAGTACCATCAAAAGTTAGATTCAGGCTAAAGCAAGGGTGGGGAACCTGTGGCCTTAAGGCCACATGTGGCCCTCAAGGTCCTCAAGTGCAGCCCTTTAACTGAATTCAAACTTCACTGAACAAATCCCCTTAATAAAAGGATTTGTTCTGTAAAACTTGGACTCAGTCAAAGGGCCATATTTGAAGATCTAGAGGACCGCATGTGGCCTTGAAGCTGGTTTCCCCAGCCCTGGTCAAAGGATATTGAGCTGTTACAATGGTATTTTCTCAGTCCTCATTCTTCTTGATTTCTTATCAGCTTTTGACATTGTTCAAATGTCTCCTTTCCCCCTTGGCCTTGATAGTCTTTTCTCTCCTAGCTTCCATAATATTTATCTCTTTGGTTCTCCTCTTACTTGTCAGATCATGCCTTCTTAGTCTTCTTTGGTAGCTCATTATCTGTCTTCTTCTCCCTCAATATAAATGTTCTCCAATGCTGTCCTGGGCCCTTTTCTCTTTTTGTCTCCTCTCAGTAAGCTCATGAGTTACAAAGGGTCAAATTATTAACTCTATATAGACAACTTCCAAATCTACATATCCAGCCCTAATTACTCTATGGAACTCTAGTCTCATATTAGTTGCCTCCTGGGATGTCCTTCAGGCACCTCAAATTCTACATGTCCAAAAGATAATTCATTTTCTTTCCCATTAATCTCCCAAATTCCACATTTTTTTTTGGGGGGGGGACACATTCTTCCAGTCACTCAACTTTAAAACCTAGGAGTCATCTTTGATTCTTCCTGCTCAAAACTTACCAATGATTTCTTAGTTGCCAAAAGTAATGGTCATTTCTCAATCTGTCTTGAATCTGTCTTTTATCCTTCTTGAACTGTTTAGTTTTTGACACTTCTAGATACTCTCTCTTCTTGAGGTTTCCATGACACTACTCTTTCCTGGTTCTCCTGCAATCTGACAGATCCTTCTCAGTCTCCTTTGTCAGACCTTCATTGAGTTCACATACACGAATTAGTCTGTCCCTGGCCCTCTTCTATTTTCCCTCACCAATTGCCTATTGGGTATGTCAAACTGGATATTCTATAGACATCTCATATTCAACACCAACAAAACATAACTCATCATCTTTCCCCCCAGATCTCCTCTCTACTCAACTTCTCTAGTTCTATCTAGGGCAACAATCTCCTGTCAGTCTTACCCAGACTCACAGCTTTGGTGTCATTCTGGACTTCTTATACACTTGTCCCACATATCTGATTTGTTGCCACTTCTTGTTATTTCTACCTTCACATCTCTAGTGCATCCCTTTTTCTCCACTCACACAGTTGCTTTCCTAGAGCAGGCCTTTGGCACCTCTCACTTGACCTATTGCAATAGCCTTCTGGTTGTTCTCTTTGCCTTAATTCTTTATCCACTCCAATCCATTTTCCACTTATCTGCCAAAGTGGTTTTCCTAAAGCACATCCTTCTGTTCAATAAACCCTGATTATTCCCTATTACTCCAGGATCAAATATAAAATCCTCTTTTTGGCTTTTAAAGCTCTTCACAACCTAGCCCATACTTCCCTATGTGAACTCTAGGATCAATGACAGTAGCTTTCTTGCCATTCCTTGCAAAGGACACTCCTGACTCTATGCCTTTTCACTAATCATCCCTCATGCCTAGAATGTTTTCTGTCCTCACTTCTACCTCCTATCTTCCCTAGCTTCCTTCAAGACTCAACTCAAATCTCATTTTTTCAAGAAGGCCTTTTCCCATCCATTACCACTCCCTCCTTTCCTGCTTCCCCCAGCCCTTAACATACACTAGTGCATTCCTTCTGGGTTTACCTTTCATTCCCGATGATTACAACTTCTCTATATAATTTTTTTTAAACATGTAATCTACCATCATTAGAATGTGAACTCCTTGAGAGCAAGAATCATAGCTTTTCTTTTCTTTTCTTTGTATTCCCAGCATTTAGCACAGTGCCTGGCATATAGTGCTTAATAATGTTTATTGACCAACTAACTTTCCATCATAGCCATTCAGTTGCAAAATCTTGTTCTATCTACACCACACCTCTCTTATTCATCCCCATTTCTCTACTCTCAAAGCCACTATTCCAAAGGATTGCAACAGACTTCTTGCTTCTAATCTCTCCTTTCTCTAATCCATCTGATACACAGCTGCCAAAGTCATTGTCCTAAAGCACAGCCCCTTGCTCAAAAGTCTTCAATGCTTCCTACTATCTCCATTATTTTTGTTAGATAATGTTATACTCTTAATATTTAATATCACCTTATTTAATTTGACTTGCTTTGCAATCACTTGTTTTTAAATAAATGAATTTCAGTGCATTCTTTCAATATCTTGATACATTCCATATACATGTCTTAATTGTATCATATTTGTTCAAACATTTCTCAGTTTTTGGATATGGCTACCAGTCTTTTTCAGTTACAAATAATTTTACTATACAAATCTATGAACCAGTAAATTGGAAAAAATTTCATAGTATAACTCAACAAGGGAAATATTGGCTCAAAGGGTATGCTTATTTTTTTTTAACTTTTATCACATCCTGCCCTCCGAACTCGTAAGTTTCCAATTCTACTAGCAATGAATAAGCGTGCCTGTTAACACACAGCTGCACCAGCATTGCTGTTTTTAATTAAAATTTTAATGACTTATTTCTGTTACACTTTGTTGTGGTTCAGTGCTGCTTTAGTCATATAAGAAGATAGCTTATGGGCTGCTATTTATCCACAAAAGAGTTTACTTAGCTAGTGCATTAGAAACTACATTCCTGATAATTGTGTAACTTTTGTTCATGTTGTAATATAATTCCAATTTTATTGAATTGTCATTTGTCTTTATTGTTATACAGCCTGCCCAATCTTTGCTTCTTAAAATTTTTGTATAGTTTCCCATTAGTTTAATCCTTTGTGGTCAATTTCTGCTAGCCTTCTATGTGCACTCGAAAAGAATGTATATTATGGAAATGTTCTTTTCCATTCTTTCTGCACACACATATATTTGTATATCATATACACATTCTCCAATTCATGATTACAATTAGTAACGGGCAAAGCACATTATTATTTTTGTTGTGCATTTGTCACTCAGTTAATTTAGAATTCTTTGTCTACAACTTGTACGGGTTTCTTTAGTTATTGATTTTTGCTTTTAGTTCTTCGACTTTTTTTTAAATAGTTTAAATTTTTTTTCATTCAATACAATCTTGTTTCTAAGGTGTGTGATTTGGGATTGCAATCCTATTTCTAAAATGCTTTTGTGTATTTTTGTTCAATATTAGTACTTTCCTTCATAATTTTTGAAATCACTTGTTACTTTAATTCCAAATTTTAAATATATAATCTCTTGCTGGGTTTCATATGTACATTCCTCTTTCTCTTCTTCTTGGCGTATGGAAGTGCTCATGTTTGTTAATATTTACCGAGTTAAAAATTGCCAAAAATTATGTTTTTAAAAATGTAATCTAATTTTTTCCTTCATACTTGAAGAATTTTTGTCTTTGTAATTTTGTGGTTCAACAGTTATGTGCAGTGATTGTTCATAGTTTAGATTTCTTCACATGTATTTTCATGTAAACTTTTTCTTAATAAAATTTATTTTTTTTTAAAAATAACAAGCATTTCTCTCCTTTTCCATTCCCCATCTACTGAATTCTTCATATACATCAATATTCTCTCTGAAGAATAATACCAGATCTTGTCATTCTGGAAAGTTTTTCCTTTAAATATAGTATCTAGTTTTTAAAACATTTTGTAGTCTTAGGAAATCCCACTTTTTCTTATGTTTGTACTTTCTGCTTTTCCTTCCAAATCTGTTATTTTATTCTGCGTATCCATTAGTTCCTTTTTCATTTCTATTACAGCTTGGGCCTTTTCTTCAAATTAATTTTTATTCTCTATTGATCTTTGTTCAACCTCATCTATTCTGTTACTTGTGACGGTGGGGGAAGTCACTTAACCTATATGCCTCAGTTTCCTCATCTGTAAAATGGGTATTACAATAGCAGCTACTTTTCAGGATTGTTGTGAGGATAAAATGTAATTATACATGTATTATGTAATACAAATGCTAGCTATCATTATTGTTAATACTATTGTTGTTTTGAAAGTCATTCAATGTAACTTTGTAATTTTGAAATGTCATAATTGTAATTTGCCTAGTTGTTCCTCCTTTCTTTTTTTTAAAAACTGAATTAAATTTACTTTTTGTATCTTTTAATATATTTAAAATCCAATTTAACTTATCACTTGGCATTTCTTCCATTTCATCCTAAGGGTTAAAAAGAATATTAAGGATTTCTTTTTCCAGTACTTTGTGAGGCCCCTCCTGAGTTTGAGAGCCTCCTAATTCCCCTTATCTTGTCCTTTTCCCCTTATCTTGAAATACCATAAAACTTCTCCTTAACTTGTACCAAAAGAATTGCTTTTTCTCCCCTTATCCTGTGTGCCTCTCTCCTTATTTTTAAGCCTCATAAAACCCCTAAAACTACAAAAAAACCTCTTTATAAGCATAACTCCCCCAAATATCAGGGTCTCGTTTGGCTTTCTTGCTAAGGAGACCTGTGATGCTTACACGTTAAATAAAGCTCCCAATGAATGGCTAAGAGAAATCTTAGTGAATTCTTTCACACCTGAACCACTCTCCCAACTCTAACCTCAACATTTATGGTGTCAAAACCCGGGAATCCAAATATTAATT